ACTTGGAGGCCTTGGCTGCAAACTTTGGGAAGAGTGAAGGTCATGTGGCTACTCCTCTTCCCTCAGGGTTCAAGTGTGTGAAAGGACCAGCGGAGGAAAGTGTTGGTGAAGAGGAGAGGCGCCGTTTTCACTCCTTGGTGGGCAGCCTCATGTATGCGGCCGTTCACACAAGGCCGGATGCAGCCTTTGCTACCGGGCAGCTGGCTAGGGTTGTCCAATGCCCTAATGAAGAGCAGGTAGCAGCTGGAGAGAGAGTGGCCAAGTACCTTGGCCAAACAGCAACTGTTGGACTGCAATACTCCGCGGCGGCACAAAGGCGTCAAAAGGGTGCGGATGGAGTCGAACCCGGGAGGCTCTTTCTCACCGCCTTCTCTGATGCATCTTGGGCATCAGAACCAGAGGACATGACAAGTGTGGGAGGCTTCATCTGCTGTGTTGGTGGAGGGCCAACAGCTTGGGAGAGCAAGAAGCAAGTGGACCAAGCATTGAGCTCGGTGGAGTCCGAGTACATGGCACTCTTCCGTGCCATAAGAGAGGTTGTGTGGCAGCGGCGTTTGCTAGCTGAATTGGGGGAGGAGCAGCAAGGACCTACCCCACTCTACTGTGATAGCCAGGGTGCTATTGCATTGGCTAAGAACCCCGTTCTTCATGGCCTTACCAAGCACATGAAGGTGAAGTGGCATTGGGTGAGGAGCATGGTAACCGCGGGTGAAGTGGAGTTGCACTACGTGAAGACGACGGCGCAGCCAGCTGATATGATGACCAAGAGGCTGGTTGAGCAGCAGCATTGGAAGTGTTGCAAGCTTGCTGGGATGGCTCTGAACTAAGGGGAGCAGATTCTAAGGCCAACAATCCGAGGGGGAGTTTGTTGGTGCAACCCTATGGCTTGCACTCGGCTTGTCGTCCTTGTTTGTGTGTGTGCATGCATGGCATGGAATGAATTGTGAGTCTATGTCATTGCTATCCAGTGCTTGTGTGTGTGTTTGAATGGTGTATCACAATGTGGTTTGTGTCGGTCAAGACATTAGCAAGTTTTTACAACTCGCATGTCAAGTCGTCGTTTGTGTGTCGCATGTGTTTTTTCTATTTTGTCGAGTGTGAAGTGTCGATCGTGTCGCAGGTGTGTGCAGCAAGCCCCCATCAACTCAAGAAGAATTTATCTTGCAGATCCAGGAACAAGAGCTCAAGATTTCAAGCCCAAGGGACGCGGATAAATATTAAATAGTGAAAATAGTAACGTTACTTCGTGTAGTGTTACATTTCACTTGGTGTAGCCCCTTGGAGGGTTGGTTTCGAGACTCTTCATGGTTGGGGACCCTGTGGTGGTGTACCACCAACCTGGACCTCGGCTCTTGGGGTATGTAGAGGCTGGGAACCATCTCCCTCTCGAACTCTTCTTGCTAAGTTTGTACTCCTAAGACTATTGTGGCTGCTATACCTCCTGCCAGTCAAACCGCCATAGCGTCGTCAAATCTTCATGGAATTTCATGATTCAACTTGCTGCTGATAGACGACAGCAACACGCTCCAGATCCAATTTACACATCACCGTTTGATTCAGTGACCAGATCGTTATCAGTATTTGAAGCCGTCTGACAGAAATCCGACTGTGCTCTCTATCTCTCATTATAGGCACATCTAAGCCTATTGTGATTATAACAGACGGGAGCCAGTGGTGCTTACTGGACACACAGACACGTCGTGGGCCGGCGACTTGGAGATGCTCAGGTCGTCTCAGGGCTACTGCTTTAGTCTTGGTACTGGTGTAGTCTCGTGGAGGTCCACCATGCCGTTGTCTGTAGCTTTGTCCAGTTGTGAGGCAGAGATCTACGCAGGGGCCATTGCCGCTCAGGAGCTCCGCTGACTGACATTCTTGCTCACTGACTTAGGTGAGCAGCCTAGGTGTGCCCCGGTCCTGTTTGCTGACAACAGGGCCATGATCCTCTTGTGTCAGGAGGCTCGACTTGAGGGCAGGGTGAAGCACATCCAGCTGCGGTACTTCCTGCTGCAAGAGTTGCAGCAGCGCGGTCAGGGTCGTGTAGTACAGTTGGCCTCAGAGGCCAACACCTCTGATATCTTCACCAAGGCACTTGCGCCTCGTGACCATCAGCGGTTCTGTACTCAGCTTGGTCTAGCCTCAATAGCAGCACCACTTCCTTGTATCCTAAGTCATACTATACCTTTATGTACGTGTTGTTCGATATCTGCTTGTCTTGCTACCCTTGCTGACTGGCCTTGTGGCCTCTTGTCTCAATGGTCAGACTAGTGGTGCTGCCCTGAGTTTTCTTATTACCATAAAAGCCCGGATATAAGACCTATGTGTCTTATCACATAACACCATTCAAAACTGCATTTGATCTTATAAACGGAAAAAAATGGGGCATTTGGGTATCTTATAAACGGAAACCCTCATAAGTTCATTGGAAAAAGGGCCCGAGAAGTGAACCAAAACATATCGAGTAATCTGATAATGAGGATTCAGCGATAAGGGGAAATTTTGCGGAAGTCAATTGTGACGGTAAAACACGTGTGATGAAGATGCGAATGCCTGCAACAAGACCCCGCTCGGCTTAATCCCAATCGTTCATCGTCTCAGTCAATAAAACTCGTTTGTGGGAGACCCAGTTCTTGCTTCGCAGGAATAAAAAACACTACAGAAGGGGGGGTCTTATCTCATACCGCCTTGAGGGTGTCTTATTAACGGGAATTCCGAATAGAAGATAGACGCCTAGAAGAAGACCCTGGGTCTTCTATTACTAGGGGGTCTTCTATCCGGGCTTTTACGGTACTCTCACCGAAGGTCAAAATAGTAGTGCTGCCCTGGTGTACTTTTCTTTGTTATGAACTGGCATTATCTCGACTAGGGTGTGTGTCAACAAGTACCGTATTCCCCCACATAAAACACCCGCCGGAATTAATCACCCATGGGTGGTTTGGGCGGACCTGGATGCTTTATTAAACAGGATATTCATACCACCCTAGTTTTTGGCATGAAACCTATACACCACCCCCCTGGTTCATTTTCAATGGATTTCTGTAGATTTTGCCTCGTATCAGAGTGTCTCTTATCAGACTCGCGCGTCACTGAGCAGTGCAAGCTCGATGTGAAGTGGTTCAATGCGGTGTAGAACTGTTACCATGCTTGGAATTCGCGTCACTCAGGCGAATGTTGTGAGTCTGATACTGTACGAGGCTCATGGGAACACGCTCCTCATAGTCAACACTTTGCAGTGCGGGAGAATCCATGCCGGTCAGCCCTGGTTGGGTCGTGAAGGAATCTGCAGCAGATTCCTTCCAGCTTTGGTGCGCTGTCACATTGTGGCATCGAGGTTGCCACTTGCCACCACGATTTGACAGAACGTGACAACCTGTGATGCAGGCAACCTATGACTGTTTGCCTGCAACGTGGCATGACGATAGTCCTCACCATATACGCGATCACGTGCAATCGTCAAAATTCGGCACAAAAGAACTGTCTACAACACAGTTCAATTCCAGTTCATAAACATAAAATTGTCATTCCATAGCCCCCGGGCGTTATACAAAAAGTGCCACTTATTCCACCCCCACTAAAATTTGCATCAAAAATTTAGTGTCACCCGTGGGTGTTTTATCCAGGGGAATACGGTATAATTATCTAGGCTAGCTAGTTTGTATTTGTTATAGCCTTAGCTAGGTCAGATCTTAGAGGGTACATGTCCTACCTTTGTAACCCTCGCTGTTTTCCCTTAGTCCCACTATACTCTCGACAATCTAACACATAATCTACAAGAAAAACAGAAAACAATCATGCTCTCGCACCCATGCAAGGTCTCCACCCACATTAAAAAAAAAAAAAAAAATTAGCCGGCAATCCCAGTGAGTCACACACCACCAGCTGTACCCTTCCCAGCAATGCAGTGTTCCTTCAGCTTCATGGAAGAAAGGATGCTGTCCGGGATAACCAAGAGTAGATACATGAACCCGAACGTGCTGACACAGATGCCAGTAACCCAGTAGCACCACTGCACAAGGGAAGGAAGGGAAAGGAAGAAAGACATGGGATTGGATGTACAAATATATGCTCTGTAAATAGTGAAAGGAACATGAAAACAGGTGGTAACACCGTGCCACAAAGTTGTATACGGACGATTGAATCCATAAAATCGGAAACACATCTGAATCCCCTCCCTCTAAATCACCCCTTTTACTTGCACACTTCACCGCACCACTCGCCTGGAATGCAGAAGAGGCAGAAAACCACGCACACATTCCGAACAACTCATCGTGACGTTTTCCATAAACTTGGTGTGATACAAGGCGATACCCAGAAACATCGCCGTCTACGCGAGCGCAATTTTCGTGGCTCCGATCATGCAGTGCGCCATGAGCCACTTGAAGAGGTTCGGTGCGGTCTTGTCCGGCCGTATGAACCCCACCACGGCCTGCAGCAGTGCGAGAATGACCGCCGCCAGCCCACCTGCCCATGCGTCCAGCTGAGCCCCTTGGAGCCCGCCTGCACGAATATCACAATCATCCCCGCCACTGCAACCACTAGAGCCGACAGCTGAATCCCCCGGTGCAGCTGAAACCCCAGCGGCCGCAAGTCCTTTCCGCTGTTGAGGTTGAGGAGGGCCCCGTGGGGGCGGTCGGCGAGGAGGAGGCGGGCAAGGAGGATGGCGAGGGGCATGAGCAGGGCGAAGGCGAGGGCGAGGAGGACCCGTGGGCGATATACGCCGCTGTGCTGCTGCCCTGGCCAGCGGTCGATGTGCCCTTCACGAAGTCTATTGAGGCTGACCCGCTGGTGGTAGAGAGAACAGGGAGAAGACGAGGGAGGGGGGGGAAAGGATGGGGGAGGGGAAATGAGGGGAAAGAATATGAAATTTTGATATAATGCCACGCATATCACCGAACGCCATGAATATTATCTAATGCATGTAGATAACCTGATGCCATGTATAGAATCTAATGTCATGTCAAATTGCCTCATGTCATGCATACAACCGTGCACCACACCAAGACTCACTAGTTGCTGCGGTGGCCAACCAGAGAGGTGGAGCCATCGGACCAATCGGTGCAGATGATGGTGGAGGAGAGAAATGGGGGAGAGAGAAGAGGGGAGAGAGAAGAGGGGAGAGAGAAGAGTGTAGAGAGAAGAGGGAAGAGAGAAAGGGGGAAGAGAGAAGAGGGGAGAGAGAAGAGGAGAGGAAAGAGGGGAGAAAGAGGGAGAGAGAAGAGGGAGAGAAAAGAGGGGAGAGAGAAGAGGGGAGAGAGAAAGGGGAGAGAAAAAGGGGGAGAGAAGAGGGAGAGAGAAGAGGGAGAGAGAGAAGAGGGAGAAAAGAGGGGAGAGAAGAGAGAGAGAAAGGGAGAGAAAAGAGGGGAAGAGAAGAGGGGGAGAGGAAGGGGAGAGAGAAGAGGGGCTGCACATTCTACCCCGCCATGCTACCTCACCTTACGGTGTGCCATCCCATGATGGTGGTGCGGGAACATGCCATGCTACAATACCGTACTGTATGCCATCCCATGATGGCGGTGCGGGCACATGCCATGCTACAATACCGTACTGTATGCCATCCCATGATGGTGGTGCGGCACATGCCATGCTACAATACTGTACTGTATGCCATCCCATGCCATCTTATCGCTTACAAGTTGCTGGCGTGGAAAGCGAGAGCCATGGAACCGTCGGGCGAGTAGGCCCAGATGATGGTGGTGGGGGCCGAAGCATCGATGGGCACGTGGCCCATGCCCATGCTGCGAGTGAACCTGGGGAGGAGGGAGGGTTAGGGAGGACGAAGGCTTCCCTAACGAGGGGGGGAAGCCAAAAGTTTACCTCACTATAATGCCACACGCCAATTTTCTTCTAGGAGAACAGCAGTGCGACATCAAAATAGTCTTACACCATTGTAGTGTATCCATTAGAAGTCGTAACCCAAGTGTTTGTAATGCTCCACGTGTCAGTCAGCTGAACCGACCCCACGTCACGCCCACCCAAAAAATACACCCCTACTGCCGCCCGTTGGCCTACGAAGCCCGTGTGGCGACCTGCGCTGCATGCTGACTGTGCTGTCTTAATTCACAGCCCAGTGGAGGGTGTAGCTGAGGGGGACGAGACAGGAGTTGAGGGGGACGAGACATGAGCGAGGGTGAGGAGAGCATAGGAGAGCAAGGCAGAAGAGCACGTGCAGACTGAGAGGGGAAGGAATGGGGAAGGAATGGGGAAGGGACGGGGAAGGAACAGTGACTGTAGAATGAAGAACGGGCTAATGGTGAGAGGAGTTTAGTGCTGAGAAGCTTGAATGCAGAATGAAGGATGGACTGATGCTGAGAGGAGTTTAGTCACACTCACGCGTTCTTGCTGAGCTGCACGGAGACGTGTAGCCCGGCAGGGAGGACGGCTGGCAGCCAGACCATTGGCCTGCGAGGACGACCGCTGCTCCCTCCACTGCCGCTGCTGCCATTGCTGCTCCCGCCGCTGCTGCTGTTGCTGCCGCTGCTGCCGTTGTTGCCGCTGCTGCTGCCGCTGAAAGAGGGGCAGCTGTAGTCTACAGACAGGGATCCCCTGGGGAGGGAGAGAGCCAGAGAAGAGGAGAAGAGGAGAAGAGGAGAAGAGGAGAAGAGGAGAAGAGGAAAGAGGAGAAGAGGGGAAGAGGAGAAGAGGAGAAGAGGAGAAGAGGAGAAGAGGAGAAGAGGGGAGAGGGAAGTGGACAAGAGGGGGAGAAGGGAGAGGGGAAAGGGGTGGAAGAACTTCAGGAGAAGCAAGGCGGACCTGACCCATTGGCCTGGGAAGTGGACTCGCTACAGCCACTGCTGCTGGAAAAGGGGCAGCTGTAGTCTAGACTCTACTGACAGGCCCCTGGCGGCAGGCGAAGGCATAGAAGGGGAGAAGAGGGGTGGAGGAACGTGAAGAGAAGGGCATAGAACGCCATAGTAAGGTATAGAAGCGCATAGGGGTAGAAGTGGGTAGAAAAATAAAGAGGGGCATAGAGGGGTATCAAAACGTATAGAAGGCATAGAGGTGCAGAATTTAGAAGGGTTACACAGGGCTTAGAAGAGTTAGAAGAGCAAGTGTGCACTTGTTGGTTGGCAGGTGCTGCGCGAGGGTCTGAAACCCATCGGAGTAGGCCCAGATCATTGAATTAATTCCCTTCAGCAACACCTTTGTTTTGCCATCGTTAACAGACCGTGAGAACCTGCAACGAGGAGTGCAACAAAAGGGGGTAACAGAAGGCCTGCGTGTTTGCTACAGTGGTAAAGCGAGAATGCTCAGACAGCGGTAGCGCATGGCTGATAGCAAGCTGTGCGACAGCGTCGCGCGAGTCCCAGACAGCACGAGCAAGCACAACAGCGGAAAAGGCCTCGCGCTCAGCAGTCGTGGGGCATCAGGGAGGCAGCAGGCGCAGGGGAGGGAAAGCAGGCCATCAAATGAACAGCCAGGGTTGACCGTCCTGGCGCTGACCTGTAAGCTGGCGTCGAAGGTCGACCAGCCACGCCTCAAAGTCAAGCGCCCGACCCTCTGCGTCCAGACGGAGCTGTGACTCCGCCATCGCCACTGCTGCTGCTGCTGACGGCCGCTGACAGGGTGAAGAGGATAGGCAGAGCAAGCGGTGGAGTGCAGTGTAGTGCGGTTGAGTGCGATGGAGAGCGGTGGAGTGCGGTGGAGAGTGGTGGAGTGCGTGTAATACGATGGAGTGCGGTGTAGTGCGGTGGGGAGCGGGGGATTCAGTGGAGAGAGCCAGTAAGGGAGCCGGCACTGAAGGGAGCCAGAGCCGGTGGGTCGGCGCTGTACTTTACGGCCTGGCGGCTGGCCGCTAAAGTGGGGGCGGCTGGGCTGGAGCTGGCCGGTGGCTGGCGAGAGGCCGACGAGGCACAACGGGGCCGACGGGCGCTAGCGGGGTCGGTAAGGCGCCAACGGGGCCGGCGGGGTGCTAACAGCTGGCGGGGCGAGCAGGGCAGGAGAGGCGCACGAGGCCGACGAGGCGCTAATGTTGTTCACGGGCGCGAACGGGGCTGGAAGGGTGCTAACGGGGCTGGAAGGGCGCTAACGGGCCGCGGGTGAGCAGGGCTAGAGGGGCGCACGGCCGACGGGCGCTAACGGGCCAACGGGGCGCACAGGCCAGACGGCGCAAGTGGGGCTGGCAGGGCGTTAACAGGCCAGAGGGGGTGCACGGGTCCGACGGAGCGCTAACGGGGCCAAAAGGGCGCTAAGGCCAACGGGCGCTAACGGGTCGGCCGGTGAGCAGGCCAGAGGGGCGCAACGGGGCCAACGAGGCGCACGGGGCCGACACGGCGCTAACGGCCGACGGGGCACTAACGGGCCGACGGGGCACTAACGAGCCGACGGGGCGCTAACGGGCCAACGGGGCGCACAGGGCCGACGGGGAATAACGGGCTGACGGGGCGCTAACGGGCCTGTGGGGCGAGTAGGGCAGAGGGGCGCACGAGGGTCGACAGGGTGCAAACGGTCGGACAGGGGCGCTCACTGGGCCAACGGGTGCACGGGGCCGACGAGACGCTAACGGGCCGACGAGGCGCTAACGGGCCGACGAGGCGCTAACGAGCCTACGGGGCGACTAGGACTAGGACGAGAGCGGAACCGCAGGTGGGCGGGAGGATCTAACCTAGCGCGTGAACCATCTTAGAGTAGAAATCGTTAACTAGAATGAGGCATACTGGTTGTTTTTTGTTCAAGTATTTGTACCCTCTAAGAGCAGGTGTAAGGAATGGGAAGGAATGGGAAGGAACGGGGAAGGAACAGTGACTGTAGAATGAAGAACGGCTAATGGTGAGAGGAGTTTAGTGCTGAAAGCTTGAATGCAGAATGAAGGATGGACTGATGCTGAGAGGAGTTTAGTCACACTCACGCGTTCTTGCTGAGCTGCACGGAGCACGTGTAGCCCGGCAGGGAGGACGGCTGGCAGCCAGACCCATTGGCCTGCGAGGACGACCCTGCTCCCCTCCACTGCCGCTGCTGCCATTGCTGCTCCCGCCGCTGCTGCTGTTGCTGCCCCGGCGTTGTTGCCGCTGCTGCTGCCGCTGAAAAGGGGCAGCTGTAGTCTACTGACAGGGATCCCCTAGGGGAGGGAGAGCCTGAGAAAGGAGAAGAGGAGAAGAGGAAAGAGGGGAAGAGGAGAAGAGAGAAGAGGAGAAGAGGGGGAGAGGGAAGAGGAGAAGAGGGGGAGAAGGGAGTGGGGGAGAGGGGTGGAAGAACTTCAGGAGAAGCAAGGCGGACCAGACCCATTGGCCTGGGAAGTGACTCGCTACAGCCACTGCTGCTGAAAAGGGGCAGCTGTAGTCTAGACTCTACTGACAGGGATCCCTGGCGGCAGGCGAAGATAGAAGGGGAAGAGGGGTGGAGGAACGTGAAGAGAAGGGCATAGAACGCCATAGTAAGGATAGAAGCGCATAGAGGGGTTAGAAGTGGGGTAGAAAAAGGTAAAGAGGGGCATAGAGGGGTATCAAAACGTAAGAAGGGCATAGAGGGTGCAGAATTTAGAAGGGTTACACAGGGCTTAGAAGAGTATAGAAGAGCAAGTGTGCACTTGTTGGTTGCAGGTGCTGCGCGAGGTCGAAACCCATCGAGTAGGCCCAGATCATTGAATTAATTCCCTTCAGCAACACCTTTGTTTTGCCATCGTAACAGACCGTGAGAACCTGCAACGAGGAGTGCAACAAAAGGGGTAACAGAAGGCCTGCGTGTTTGCTACAGTGGTAAAGCGAGAATGCTCAGACAGCGGTAGCGCATGGCTGATAGCAAGCTGTGCGACAGCGTCGCGCGAGTCCCAGACAGCACGAGCAAGCACAACAGCGAAAAGGCCCGCGCTCAGCAGTCGTGGGGCATCAGTGGGAGGCAGCAGCGCAGGGGGGAGGGAAAGCAGGCCATCAATATGAACACCAGGGGTTGACCGTCCTGGCGCTGACCTGTAAGCTGGCGTCGAAGTCGACCAGCCACGCCTCAAAGTCCAAGCGCCCGACCCTCTGCGTCCAGACGGAGCTGTGAATCCGCCATCGCCACTGCTGCTGCTGCTGACGGCCGCTGACAGGGTGAAGAGGATAGGCAGAGCAAGCGTGGAGTGCAGTGTAGTGCGGTTGAGTGCGATGGAGAGCGGTGGAGTGCGGTGGAGAGTGGTGGAGTGCGGTGTAATACGATGGAGTGCGGTAGTGCGTGGGGAGCGAGGGAGATCAGTGGAGAGAGCCAGTAAGGGAGCCGGCACTGAAGGGAGCCAGAGCCGGTGGGTCGGCGCTGTGACTTTACGCCTGGCGGCTGGCCGCTAAAGTGGGGGGCGGCTGGGCTGGAGCTGGCCGGCTGGCTGGCGAAAGGCCGACGAGCACACGGGGCCGACGGGGCGCTAGCGGGGCCGGTAAGGCGCCAACGGGGCCGGCAGGGGGCTAAACAGGCTGGCGGGCGGCGAGCAGGGCAAGAGGCGCACGAGGCCGACGAGGCGTTAACGTTGTTCACGGGCGCGAACGGAGCTAGAAGGGCGCTAACGAGTCGGCAGGC